AGGTAGGTAGGTAGGTAGGGTAGGTGGGACGGGTCGGGTAGGTAGGTAGGTAGGTAGGTGGAGAGAGTGTGTGTAGTAGTGTGTAGTACGTAGTAGAGAGAGAGAGAGAGAGAGAGAGAGAGAGAGAGAGAGAGGGGGGACAATCCAAGTGCCTTTGCCAAGAATGGCTATTGGAAGTCAATTGCAATTTGTAATCAATTGATATTTTTAAATCAAACATGCCTTAGGGCACTTGCAACATGTCAAATTGCAATTTTCTCTATTAATACATTTGGCCTAGAAACATATGAGGCGTTAGTCTTCTAATTGAGACATGAAAAACCTGGGAGTGGATGACCAAAATGGCCCATTATCTATCTGTTCCAATTCAATTTTTGAGCATAAAATTAGCCCACACAAAAGGCAGTCACAATTTTCGTAGTTGTCAATTGAACTGAATCGCTCTTATTTGATTTTCATGGTAAAAGAATAGGGTACATATGATACATCTATGAAGGGCCGGATACTGGTCTATACAAATTTTACTAATTGTTTTCCTTGTTTTTTTGCATTTTTCATTCTAACATTTGCAGTAGAAGTGGTGCTTATTTTTATTTTTATTTTTTCGCTCTAATTTATCCTTTTTATCTGGCTCAAATTGGGTGTGTCGTGTGTTTGTAGGCTAATGCAACCATGGGGGTCTGCAGCGACAACAGCATGGATCCTGCCGCAGATTCCATTCCTCTGAAAACAACTCAATCATCAGCAGTCTCTGTAAATAGCCCCACATTGTTCAGCTTGTTGCTGCTTTTGCAGTTTACACACTTGTGAGCATGGTTTCACCAAAATTATAAATCATCATGCTTACCTTTCATCATATACATCTCAATTCTCTTTTATTTTTTATTTTTTTCATCCAGTACAGCCATTACAGTTTTTTTCTGATAGACAAAGGTGTATTTTTTTTTTTTTTGGTTGTCATGGAAATTTTTTCTGAAGAAGGTTATTTTAAGGGACTTGAGAGTACTTGTTGTTTGATATTACATGGGAGTAGGTCCAGTTTACTGAACATAGATGGCAAGGATATGAGATGGCAAGGATATGAAGCAATAGGATAAAATTGTATGTAAAATGAGAAGTAAAAATTATAAAAGGAACAGATAAGGTAGTGACCCTCATCACATACTTGTGGTTTGTGGGGCCCCCTGATTATCTTATGCAATTATTTTGCATAGGTAAAAGAGAATAAGCCCATTCTTACAGGATGCAAGTATCTCCTTTTTTAGATAGTTCACTAGCAAGATTCGAACTTGTTCTAGGCATTTTCCTTTTGGGTAGTTTAAAGTGAATAAACACACAAAAATAAAAAAAAAGTGAATAAACCCTTTCTTATGCAATGAAAAATGTCACCATATGAAGCAAGCTCCTTACACTGATTTTTTGCTGAAGGCATTTGCCATGATAAGTGATTAGTCAATCGAAAGCTTCCCATCCTTTACCTGCTCTGAACCTTCTACCTTCGCATTATTGTGGATAGACAAAAGTGGCTCGTAATATTTGCAGCCTTTACACATGAGTTGAGGGAGATCAAGGCTTTCTTGAGAGGGACATTGCACCTTCCTTTAGGTTACAATGGAGAGAGAGGTGATTATTTTGCTTATTATTTCACCTTTTATGTATCAATAGACACCAGAAATTTGATTGCTCTACTTATCACAGAATTCTTATCCTAAGACATGTACAGAATCCTTAACCACCCAGAAAGGCTTTCCTATGCACCCTAAAATTGCTAAATTACTATGATAACATTAAAAACTATAAAATTTAGTTAGTACTTGTCCCTGGAAAATTTTCCTCAAAATGACATGAAATCTAAACCATTTTGTAAGGAATTCAAGAAGCTTTCCAAGTATGCACAATCCACTCTGACTTGATCTCTTTTAGTCGCATATTCTTATCATGGAGGTCATCTTCGATCATATATCAAACGTTCAATCTGATTTGATGTGCTCTTACTTTGTACACCTTATTTCTTTCTCTTTTTTATTTAATCATTATTTTTCATTGCTTTACTTGATTTTCCAAAACCTTAATTTCCTATCAAGCTTAGTTTTCTTAGTTTTTTAATCTATTTTTTGTTCCAAAGCATATTTTGGTCATCGCCTAGATGGGCTACCCTACCCATCATGACCTATTTATTTGAGGACTGTAAACCTAGCATAGGATTGTCCACATTGCAAGTCTCCATGTTGACAGCTTATGGAGTGCTTAGTAAGAGACAGTGAACCATGTCTTCATGGCCAAGACTGTAACAGTTCAGATATTTGAAGGACCAAAGGTGGTAGAACTACCAAGAGTCATCAGAACAGTAAAGTTATATGACTTGAAGCCCTTAACAATTGTGCTAGGTCCACCTCCAAACCATTTCTGTGGGACATCTTCACAATGGTCTAAGCTATGGGTGATGCCTACCGACGACCCTGGCCACACTGATCCCGATGAGGAAAAGGCTGCTTGTTCTAACCCTCAAGGGAATGACCCTCGAAGTCAGAGATCACGTAGCTGGGAACAGGTCCAAGGCACAAGTGGTTAAAGTGGCAGGTGCCACAACATGAGCTCTTGGATCCCATTCCTACCGGTTCTCAAGTTAACATTCAAGAAATCAGCTAAGCACACAGTCAGTCTTCAACCAAACCATCACCTTAGAGGAAGTAATCATGATCTGGTTGAGCCCTGAGACCAACATCCATAGGAGATCGTTGACCATGAACTTATTCAAAAATTGGGTCGATTCCCTTGAGATAAGTGACACAATTCAGCCAGACAAACAAACAGGTGGAAACACCCACTGCTCAGCTCTCACGCATTGAATATGCACATGCTTGTACTGTGCCCATATTGGTGTCCTCACTCAAAATAGTACAGCACAAACATGAGTTTGAGGAATAGGATTTTTTAAGGGCAAGCTTTCTATCTTTCTCCTTCAGCATGAACTTATATGCCCCAAGTACAATGTCACATCTCTACACTATTTTATTTTTAATTTTTTTTACAAACTATTTTGGCACCAAATTTTGAGCATCTACTCCTCTCTTAAAATCGCACCTATAAAAATATAAAAAAAAAATATTCTTAATAAAATAAAATAACCAAAATACCCTTGAATATTTCATGAGGTATTTTGGTTATTATATTTTATCAAAATTTTATTTTTAATGTTTTTTTAGGTACACCCCATTAATATGATGGCACATACCATATATCATATTCATATAATTTGTTAACTAAAACTAAAAATAAAATACTATGAGGTATTGTAAAAAATTATTAAAAATAAAATAATTAAAAAATTATTCGTAAAAAAATTAAATTGACCAAAATATCCTTTTAGGGAGATTTTGGTCAATCTTTTTACGAAATATTTTTAAAATATTTTTATTAGGTTGTCCTATTTTTCAAAAATAGATACTCAAAATTTCAAGTGAATTATATTAGAAAAAAAAATTCAAATTCAAATACAAAATACAATCATAACTATTAGATTTAGGCATTGCTATAGGGCCGATCTCATATGCTTCCCTGGTATATCCCAGCACTTCTAATTTTTGACGCTATGACACTAATCTCCCGTTCTCTCCATAAATAATAATGTAAGAAGGTTGAAGTTAGTTGATGGTTAGATGCTGTCAAAGTGGTGGTGGCATCTTCTACGTTGCTAGGATCTGTGTCGTTGCTAGGATCTGTGTCGTTGCGAGTTCATAGCAATAATATATTAATTTCAGATAAGGCAGTTTTCTCCGGATAAAATAAACATGTCATCTAAACTTGGCCTTAATCTCTCATAAATGGAATGCCACAAGCTGATTGCCATCGCCCGTTCACCATTGGATGGAATAGATGACCTCCTACCCACATACGAAAACACCACCTATCACAAATTCGCCAGTCCATACACTCAAATGGACACTTCCCTCTTTATTGATCAAGAAAATGGACATCTCTCTCTTTATAAAAGTAAAATACACCTCAAAAACCTATCGAAAAAAGTTGCTCCAAAGCATTATCATTATTGGAGCTTTTTTTCTAATTATTTGGAATCGGCTACACGAATCCAAATCTATCATTATGTTCTATCGAAGGTCATATCCTCAATGAGGTTATAGGTTCTCATATATTTTTTCGTTACTTCCAATTATGTCATTTTGGGCCTACCCCTTGTCCTCGTTGAGCTTTTTATGTGAACCAACCCGCACCTCCTAACAGGTATTATACTAAGTCTGCACTGCACATGTCCAACTCACTTAAATCTACATTATCTCATTTTATCATCTATTGGAGTCACACCTAAGTTCTCTTTAATGTATTCATCCCTTCTTGTCTAGTCACTCATCCATCTCAACTTCATCATCTCAACTACACCGATCTTATGGGTATGTTGTTTTTTGACCGCCCAACATTCTGCTTCATAAAACAAAGCTGGTCTCACAATTGTCTTATAAAACTTCCCCTTTAGCTCTATTGGTATGTAGCAATCATATAAAACTTCGGTTACACATCTCCACTTTGCTCACCCAGCTCTACTTTTACATGCGATATATTTCTCAATCTCTCTATTTTTTTAGATTATCGACTCGAGATATCAAAAGTATGCTCTTTTTTGTGTTTATAGACATGCTCGATCTGCATGATTTTTGGAGTTTTAAATGTCATAACCAAGGATGGAAATAGATTTTAGGACATAACAGGGTTTTTTACTTGTATTGTATTTTGGACATGGTTTAAGTGTCTTACTTTGATTATTTGAGGTTGACCCCTTATATAAACCATACCCTAAACTTATATGACCATCTACTCATAGGTGTACCTTTTTTAAAAGTTGTTTTCATGCTAATCAAAGTAATTTAGTAAAATCATATGTTGATTGCCAAAAATAGTAAAAAATTAGTTAAAATTTGCCAAAACAAAGGTTAAATAATTAGATACTAATCCATATAAGAAATATTTACAATGAGACCACCTACTTTTGATACAAGGATATCATAATCATCATTGACTATTGGATTTGAAATCAAGTAGTTAAAGATGTTTTATTATTTAGGCACAAAGTCCAAAATAAAACTTCTCGAATGTTGTATACATTTTCATCAATTGGATTTTACATCAAAGGGTTAAAAGTGATTGTGACCTCTTTATACCAAAAATAAAATCAATGATCTCATAGTATACAATACTTCTATATAACACGAGACGAGGTATGCACTAAAAACAATTAACAAAATAATATTATGTAAAATATATTAACTTCATCAAACAGGACCTTAATCTCTCACAAAATAAAAAATGAGCTACATTATATACACTACAAGCTTATCCTCATCGTCCATCCGCCATTGGAGGTAAAGATGAAACCTTCTTACCCAAATCCTAAAACACACCAACTCGTGCGCCGATTCTCATTGATGCACTCCAATGGACCCACACCTCACTCTCTCCCTCTCCCTCTCCATCTCCCTCTCCCTCTTATAGGAGATATTTCTCCTCTCTCTATCTCTCTATCTCATGGGGGATCATTTAGATTCCAAAATCAATGTAGAAGGAGATGCCTCCGGAGGCCTAGCGTCCATAAAATGAAATAGAAAACCAAAAGTCGGATTTTTGCTTTTCCGTTTTTTCTTCAATTAAAAAAAAACGAATAACGGGGGCAATGCGCTCCCCTGACTCGCTCTTTTTTCATGAGGATAGTACCCAAGATAGCTCTTCTCAAAAATACAAAACATTCCATGGGTTTACCATCATAGTTCGCGAGTGTGAATTTCTTGAAAAATCTCAAAAAAAAATTAAATTTGTTAAAACTCCGAGTTTTTTAAATATCTTAATAAATTCAAGTTGTTTTAATCTTTAATTTGAACTGAACCAGTTCTAAACCCAAACCAGTTAGTTCTAAACCCAAACCAGATCTAAGACGGCATGATTCTGATTCCTTCTGTCTCCCCTCTGAAACCCCCCTTGCAATTTTTTTCTTCAACCTTTTTTTTAAAAGTGCAGTTGGCATATGAATGAATCCCCCTTGCAATTTTTTTCTTGAACCTTTTTTTTAAAGGGTGCAGATAGCGTACGAATGCATCCGTAGATGTAGAGGTAAGATGCACCTTCAAATTTTATCAAAGGTATATAATTTGAGTAATGATATTACGAAACCTTTCCACATCTATGTCAATAGAACTCCAAATGATCACTATTAAATTTTTACACATCTCTAAAACAATTATCAATAAACCCATTCACCCAAGTTTCACACCCATGTGATAACTTTTTTAAAAATCTGTGTCAAAATTTAATGATGATTATTTGAAACCCTGCTCACATGAGGGGCTCATAGTGTCAATACTCATATAATTTTGATATAAAGTGTTCATAAAATTATTACAAAATCCATTATTATATCTAAGAGTAATTTTTATATCTAATTATAAAATTTTAAATTTAAAAAATGATTAAAATCATGTAAATCTATAAGTATATAAAAATCTTATAAAATACACTGTTTTTTTAACTTAAAATCTTTTATTTTTTATGGGCATACATCTCGATGTCGATATGATCAAAAGGTTTTTCAACATTAAAACGACCTTTTCCAATGGATTTTTGAAGTGCACCATAGTTTTACATCATAAGGTTGCATCTTTATAAACTTTTTCTTTTTTCAAAACCTTCTCTTTTTTTTCTTTTTTGTTTTTTTATAATTCCAAAACATTCACTATTAGTACCTAATTTTTTGTGATCCATATCTAGCTCCAATCTTTTTGCCTGACTTCTTAAATAAAACTAATTCATTTTGGTTTGGTGATATATTATTATCCCCTGATTGGTGCACTATGATTATGACCATGCCCAGAGAAGCAAGTTCTAAGTGGTTCCACAAATATTCGAAAGACATGATTTGCGAACACAATAATGAGAGACATCAAGACCGCAAAGTTCCAAAACAAGACACAAAAACAGAGAATTGAAGAATGTAACAAGCCAACCGAACGGCATGGTGTAGCCCTAGCACTCATAATTCACCCATCAAAATTTGGGGGCCCGGGGTTTTCAGTCATGGAGTAGGTTCATGGGCACAATACAAGATGAGTCTTTTTGTAAGCAAACAGAATAGAAAAAGCCTCACAGATAAGAGACAATTTGTGCCCTTCCAGGGACTCAAAATTCAGGTCATGTGATGTCAAAAAAAATAATAATAATAATGTAAACACGGATTGTCATAGCAAAATTTTAAAATTTCTGTCCATTTGATAGGCTTTGCTAGAGAAAGAAGAGAAATGGAAGGTGAATAGGCTCTATTCAAATGAGGGTGCCGATGATCCACCTGGAGCATAACCACCACCCCCACGTCCAAACCCAGGCCTTCCACCAGGTCCCTGCATTAAAGGGAATAGAAAATCAGAACTCCTGTAATGCTTTATTATCACTTAAAAGACTCCCAAGTAGGCAGAGAGAGAGAGAGAGAGAGCTAACGTTACTGCATGAAATATTTACCAAGCTATAACCAACTAAATGGTATCCAATAACTATTTCGGCATCCATAAGAAATAAGTGATTGGTTCCCTTGAATAATTCAATTTAGGAAGCCCTATACCAGTGGTGATATACGTAATGCTAGCACAATCAGAACAAAGGATCCCTTACAATACTAGTCCAAGTAAATCATATGGAAAGGAAACAAAATACTTGCCCAATTTTCAGCATTATGTAAAACAAATGGCTGATACTTCACCAGAGGCACGCCAGGCAATTAACAGCCACAGAATCAGCCACACTTGCTTACAGCAGTAACATGTCTTTTTCTTTTTCTTTTTCTTTTTTGAGAATTTACGGGACCATCACAATATTAAGAAAATAAGCTAAATGTACTTCATTTCTCAATAGCATAATCACTCGACCTTTACAATAAATAACCAACAATAGGGAGGGAAACGAACATCCAGGATTGATCAATTTGAACATTCTTCTATTGTTGAGAGACTGACCAAAGGTTCCTACTAAAGACATGAATCGAATTTAAAATAATCAAAAGATACCCAAATGAATATTTGGGTCTGGCAACTCCAACAACCCATTTAGTTCTCCAGCATAACTTTTTACAGGGCCATATAGTGCAAGGTATGGGTAATTACTGATTTTAAAAATAAGCAAATAAAACATGCAAATGGATATTTTGGGTCAGGCAACTCTAACCACCCATTTAGTTCTCTAAAATAGCAAATAAAACGTCAAATAGTGGACTGCATGGGTGAATACTGAAATTTAAAATGATCAAATAGAACCCACAAATGAATATTTTGGGTCTGGTAACTCTAACAAACCATTTAGTTCTCCAGCATGGCAAACCACCAGGTCATATCCGTATGGGTGATCGAGAACCAACTAGCTAGGGTCCCAAAGCCTGTGTCAGATGTCCAATTCGGTAGATTCAGCAATACAGGTCAGCCGAGTCTATGCACACGCACACACACACATTAAAGGGACCTTCTGGTACCCTGCCAGATTTGAGTGACTCGGGCACTATCTATTTATCGAAGCCTAGACTCGTCCAGTTAGGCCCATCTACCTATCTGCCTACCTACCTACATTGATGCGCTATTCATGGCTTTCATTAAATTCAACAAACAAATATCACTAAACACAGAAATCAGAAACGTTGCTTTTGACAAATTCACAGATAACTAACATGCATAGAAATGATTTCAACAAATTCACAAATAAATATCCCTATAAAACAGGAAAGAGTATTAGCCAACTGCATTAAGTCAGAAATAAAACAGAAAAAATCAACAAACATTTATTGGTTGTAGAGATTTCGGTAGAATTATAAAGTTTATTTTATTTTAAAAGATAAAGTGGTAAGGAAACTAGAGAGGAAAAATAGGTAGGATAAGGTTTGGCTGGAGATTTAGATTTAATGGTAAGAAAAGGGAGAAAGAGTAACATGGGCTGAGAGAGATTAGCATGGAGAGAAGGTTTCTACACTTGTGGTTTTTTTATTTTTATTTTTATCCTTTTTTATATTTCTTTTTATTCCATTTTTTTTTTTTCAGTTTGTAATTAAAAGGAAGAAGGTCCCTTTTTGAAACTAGGTGAATTGAGAAGTAAGAGAGTGTTTGTGATCATGTGAAGGGAGATTTGGGGCAAACTCCCTCACAGACCCTAAGAAAGGGTATATTCTCTCAAAGTATTTAGCCTTTATTTTCATTTTGTTGAATTAATTATTTCTTCCCAAAATCTTCCCTGCATCACTAAAAGTCAACAAGGGACTCACGGAGCCAACTCCCCCCCCGGCAGTGGTCAAGTGTCATGGCCAGTCTAAGGTATAAAATAATGCTTGTATCATGCATAACGCATGTTAATATAAACAGTTTTGTAGCTATAAACTAAATGAACTATTGACGCAGTTACCATTTTGTTTACAACATTCAACTCTTCCAAAGTTTCATCTCCATGTAAGAGAAACATTATATAGTAAGCCAACAAGCATTCACATGCAATATGGCAATAAATAATAAGTAGTCCATCAGGCAATGAATCCACAAAATCATGCTTTCTCAACAATATCTAGACATTTCTCTAAACAAGCATAAAGTATGACAAGAATTGCAACTAGTAACATGTAAATGCATACCACTCTTTTTCAATATGATAAGAAGAATACAGACTTACTCTAAATGATGGCTGGAATTCAGGGGGAGCTCCTCCCTTGTCGCCAAATTCCCCTGGTGGGCCACGAGGGCCTCCTCGGTATCCATCACGGTCACCAAATCGAGGCCTTTCACCCTCAAAGCGAGGACCCCTATACCCAAAAATAAATGAATTAACAACCATCAGACCAAGATTCTCAAACCAGCGGAACACAAATACACACGAGATACCAAAACCTAGAACTACAATACGATGATAACTGAATTATGCACATATAAATAAAAAAATAAACAAGTAGAGCACATATTCACAATAAATAAGAATACTAGCGCCACTGTACAATAATAACTGCATTATGTGCCTAAAACATGTAGGCAAACATACAAACAAGATCGTGAAACTTGAGATTGTGCACACAATCATATTTAAAACCCCATATTACCCCAAATTTTATTTTGTGAAAAATAAAGTAGGTCTGGCATACATACATGATCATGAAAGCTCGCATACTCCGTGCAATAATCCCTGATCCCAAAGTTTTACTCGAGGAACTTCAAACTAGAAGCCCATGACACACTCAATAAACCAACAAAATGTATTTTTCATACAATAGTACTTGACTGCAACCACTGAATTTTATGTCATATAAGAAACAAAGCAATGAATCCCTAATAATAACAATACCTGGATTATGCATCCAAGAATTACATAAAAAGCAAACATTTGGATTCAACAAGCAAAAAACATCACTGAACCCTATATTTACACACTACATACAATGATGCCTCAAAATCACACCAAAATTGTACTAAAGAAAATTCAAACCAAAGCAAAGCACATACAATGCCTATAATTCTTATAAAATAACATTTGAAAATCACACAAAAAAAGAATATCAAGAAGCAATTACCTTGGTCTATCACCACCTGGACCACCAAGGGGCCTCCCAACTGGCTTAACAGATTTCTTCAGAGTAGCAGGCACAATCTCAGAAGGGAGATTCAAATAAGTCCTCAAATACTCAATGCCATCATTGGTGAGGTACCAGTAATAATACATCCAAGCAAATGTTTCCCGCACATATTCCTTTGATTTGAAGCTCTGCATCAGCTTGATAACATGGAGGTTGGGAACATCGATATCGGGGTGCTTTTCAAGGTTAAAGTCCTTCTTAGCATAGAGAACACCCTCTGGCACACACCCCATAACTCATGAGCAAAACCCTAGATTTACAGAGAAGAGAGAATTGAAAAAAGTTGAAGGTTAGTGTTAACGAACCTTGGAACAAATATTTGTAAACTTCATTACGGTTCTTCTTGGGGATCAACTGAAAGAAAAGGGAACATATCTTGGTTAGAGGGAGAAAGACGCAGAACATGGAATTATTGAAAAATAAATCAATTATTTCACTTACCATGGCTGTAGAGAGAGAGGGGGAGCCTGAAACGTGAAACCCTCGTTTTCAAGCTCGTCTGCTACACTGTTGCTCGCACTTTACCGATGAGTGGCTCAAATGCTGGGAAAACCCTAAAACGCAGTAATCATTATATACGAGGGCAAAACACGGTGGTGTGTGACTAGAGGTCTACGGTAACGATCTATCCAAAGAAAAGGTTTACGATAACGAGTGGAGTATCTCATATGATGATAGTCTAGAGAGGCAGGCTCATGAGATCAACAAAAAAAAAGGTTCATATAAAGGAACCCTTGAATTATTGAAGTAGGGGGCATCTAAAAAATCAAATAGAAAATATTTTTTCAACTCTAGAAAACCCTCGACTAAATATTTCGACTGCAAGATGTATCATTATGAAAATATATACACATGTTAAGTTTTAAAAATAGTAATTATTGTAACTTCTTATCATCTAGATTGTCCCTTTCCAAAATTTTCAAGTATTTATAGACAGGTGCGGTTTGTATAGAGCCTACCTTCAAATAGTGTCAAGAAATGTGGTTTCAATACTGTAAATCTTTGTGATAGCCTTAAAATATATTTTCATCTTTATTTAGAAAGTTTAAAACTTCAAAAATAATGTAGATCTGCATATATATGAAAACCTGGAAATCTTGAAAAATTACAATCAATAAATGCGTTACAAAATACAGTATTTTCAAAACTCGAAATCCTTTTTATTTTTCATATCCATGCATCTTGATGTCGAGATGATCCATCTAAAGATATTAGGGCATCAAAACAACCTCTTCTAGTGAGATTTTTGCGGCAGACTCTAATTTGACTGTATAGAACCTCGACTCTATATAAACTTTTCCCTTTATAGATTGTCCATTTCTAAAATTTTCAAGTATTTATAGATCTACTTCATATGTATTCTTTTTAGCTTTAAATTTAATAACTACAGTTGAGAATAACTTTTCATGCCATCGTAGGAATTTGCTATACCAATATTGCATCTTTCAATGCAATTTGGAGGTGATTATTTAAAGTTGATACCTTCTATAAATTGCACCCATGAGATATTCACCGAACTAAGCTTGCCAATTAAATAAGGACTGTGGAACTTAATCTTTCAAATTTTAACAAATGAATGATAACTTTTATTGGAATATTACATTTTTAACTTTTAGATGAAATCGTGTGTCAAACGCGCGGAACTTTTGAAAAATCATAATGATTTATTTCTTCAATAAATCTTTCAAAAAAATAAACACATCCTTAGAAAATCCTCAAATCAAACCAGAACCAACCTAGTAACCCAATCTAGTTAGAATCTATCTGCTTTTGTCCATATCAACATAGAAACCTCGCAATCATAATATGCGTTCAAGCTACCCAGCCTCAAACACAGCCAAATATGCCCACCTCTCCTGTCCAAACTTACCCACGCCATGCTCAGTCAATCGAACTAGCTCAAGCCCATCATTCGTACATTTAGCGACCCCTACTAGCCCAACAATACCAATCGAGGGCCCATTCAAACCCCGTGGTCCCTTCACCTCAATTTTATTAGCCTTTAGTCTAACTTAACCTGGGCATGCTACATAGCCAATTTTATAAACTGTTGACGCGGGCAGATCAAGCTATGCCACTAGTTCAAACCTACCCTTGCCAACTCAACCAATCTAGACTGGGTTGCTAGTTCAAAATTACCACCCTCCTACTCTATTGGTTCAGGCTGCTCCTCAAGTTCAGACATATTACCCATCGGTCCAATCCCTCTTGATTGTACCACAAGCTCGAGGTTTAGCCAGCTAAACCCAACCATCCACTAATCTAAACCTACCCAATCTAGTCAGTCCTGGTTGTGCCACCGACCCAAGTTTATCTAACCAATGTTAAGCAACCAACCAATTGGTAAAACCTTAACCAATCAATCAATTGAGTTAGCTGCAACGAAAGGGAATTTCAAAAGCTTATAATACACTATATCTGAGAACTGCTTGCCTGGTGTTGCGAGATAATGAAAACTTTCCTAATTAGGCCCCCAATGAATTGTTTAGCCATTTCATTATACAATATTGTAGGGCTAATCCAATACCACTGACTAGCGGCGAACTAGTTGCTACAAGACATAATCCATGAGAACTATTCACCGATTTCGTTGCCTGGTTAAGAGATGCGACATCTAATGTCATTGACTACAAACTTTGTGAAGCGTTTAAGGAAAGTGATTTATCAGAATATAATATCTTCTTCAACCATAACCTCCAACCATAGTCCTTTGAATCCATGCACAAGAAGGTAGAGGGCGAAGGCTGAAGCCACTCCTATTAAAAATTAGCCACTTGCACAAGAAGGTAGAGGGCGAAGGCTGAAGCCACTCCTATTAAAAATTAGCCACAAGCTAAACCTCCATCCATATGTGAGGTCAATACAATACAATCAATGAGTCAAAAGCCTAACCCATGAATCCCCTTTTAAAAGGCCCAGTGATACATGTAGCTCATTTTTATATGTAACGAACTTAAGATAACCACACTATGGGAATTCACCCCCATTAAGGAAGCAACGAGTGATGCTCTCAACCTATTGCTTAAAAACAAAGTTGTCGAGTTACCTATAGCTTTGGATTCCTCCCCTTCTATAGCAGATAAATCAAAGTGGTGCGAATGACATAGAAATCATGCCCATGATATTGAGGAGTGCTATGCTTTTGAGCACATTATTGAGGATTTAATTTATAAACACATCATAATTGTCATAAAAGGAGATCAAACAGAAAGAAAAAACATGTTTAAGATGATACCACTGGCGCAGATAAAAGAGAATAGACAAACTTCAAGTTCTCAAATTATGACTAAAATCGGCCTAATCAACACAATGAAGCAAAAAACCTTGCCAAAGCCTAGATATACTCTAATATGGTCTTGAGGCATAAGAAGAATCATGCCTAAGAATTCGCCAAATGAATAAAAAGATGAGCACAAGTTCACACAATACTTTGTAGCTAGGGATCCCCAAATAACAATGATGAGAATAGTCCATAGTCTAAGCTCCATAACTCATAAATTGTAGAAGAACAAAGCAACTTACAAATAATCTAGTCACTATTGGGGATGCTTGCCTACAAAAGATCCAAAGTATCCCTATTTCATAGACAATAGATCAAGGGAAAACAATCAATTGAATATGTTCTTCCAAGTAAATGCAATAGGCAACCACAAGGGGTTCAAGTCACCCATGCAGTAAAGAGTGAACCTGAGCATAAGCTTGGCCAAAACCCCGAGGCTAAGGATTCTTGAATGAAGATAATAGGGAATGACTCGGTCCCAATACCACAATTCAAAAAGAAACAAGGGAACATGCTACCTCGTGGGGAGTAAATCAAAAGTCAATGACGAAGGATTATTAACGAATGAAGATTAAAGTGTGAAGGGAGACGACCTCCTTAAAATACTAAGAGGTCACCTAGGCTACCTTCATTAAACTTCCTAGCAAACACATCATTATGTCATAAGGAGCCAAGCATAGATGATTAAATTCAACCATCCTCTAAGAGAGGGCCACAATTGATGATGAAGAGGGGAAAAATCCAAGTTTAACCACTCGTTAAGATTCAATCTCTCCACCCCCTCAAGAACTAGAAGTTGAACCCTTAGAGATCATATGGAGACTACCTTCACCTCCTTCACCAGATTTTTCAACAAATCTACCTAAGTGGGATAAAGAGTCAGAAAAAGATGAGCATGTAAGGCTCAACAAGGTAGAGGCATGACTCTGTTAACTAGGGCACCCCATACTTATGATGATCCACCTAATAGAACACAAATCCTAATCAAAATAGAAGATCCAATAGAGGCTTTTCCATCTAATGAATTGATAGAGGCAACCACATTATAAAACGTCAATCCAGTATGGGTAGCCAATGAGGTTGAGGCCTTTTCTGATGACCTCTAATATGTCATGGGTTGCGAAAATGTAGAAGTGTTCATTCCTTTCATCCAATAGTTGTACCACTCAAACACCAAAAATGGGACCAGTATGAAATTGACTTCTCAATAACAACATGAAGTTTCAACAGAACAAGGCTATAGGAATGGAATAGGGTGATCCCTCACTTATGCCTTTATTAACCAAGCGAGGAATTCATGCCCCATTTATGCACTTTACTCTGGGCTACTAACACTTAATCAATGAGAATCACCATGTCAACGAGAAAAAACTTAATGAGCTTAGCTACCCAAAGTATAAAGATTTAAATATTAAGAAACAAAACAGTAATCTGAAGTCTAACGATTCAAAGTCCACGTGAGGCACTTTAAAGGGAAAGTTCAATAGGAAATCGACAATCATTGTCAAATAGATATTGGATACCAACCTAGGTATATAAAATATAAAAGTAACTAAGATTAGAACCACTCTACCACTTAGAGAATCGAAGGATGGCTGGTGCTATAGGGGATCCAAAAAAATATTGACCCGACCTTATGCGAAGTGTCACAACAAACAAAGCACCACTTATTTTAAGCAAGTAAAAATGAGATCCCCTTCAAGCAAAAAAGCCAAAAAAGGAAAAATTCGCTAAAAGTTTCAAAGTTCTAAAGACTCAACTACAAATCAAAGTCCAGTCACACGGGTGAAAAAAAAAAAAAAAGATTCCACCAGGCTAAAGATCTAAAAGGGACTCCGAGTAAACCTCAAGGACCTCGATCATCTGAACTTCTAACAGTTGGTAGTGGAGAGTCAAAACTGGAAGTCAAAGGAGAAATATCCTATATTTTTCAAGATATTTATTTGTTTGAAGACTTCAAACAACTCTTATTTGGAATGCAACACGAGAACTAGGATTTGAAGATGAATGAGTACTTAATGATTCATTGTCTTGAAGGTCTTAGCAAAGACTAGGCAATCTCATAAGGCCACCAACGTTTATATTTAAAATATCAAATTTTACGCTTTATGTTTCAAAAACCTTAATTTCTTGATAAAAATTGTGCACTCAAAAACGTTTATATTTCAAAATATTATTTATAAAATTTAAATTCTAACAATATTATTTCAAAACAAAGGAGTTGGAGAGCCAATAGAAGATGTAATCGCGTTTTTGCATTTCTACAAGTATTGGAAAATGGGTTGAAAATACCTAGGGAAGCCCCCACATTTAGAAAAATTATAGTAGAAGTCATATATCCTAAAACCTTATCTTGATTCTATGAACCCTAAAAGATATTAGAATTATGGGAAAAAAGCATAACATTTCCAAATTTGTAGATTTTTCATCATCATCGTCTCAAATTAAGAATCATTCCCTGTTTAATTGAAAACCAAGACCCAAAAATAAAGGTCCAAGCCGAAAATGTTTACTCACTGCCCTACGTAGCATCAACTTGACTATGGGGGCCCTCTAAACTAAATATTACCATCTAAGTTCCCAATACGGTTCCCTCGAAATCCTAGAGGTCATTTTGTATTGTCAAAGACCTCTCAACGTAATATGATTGCTTCATAATCATCGTTGTTTTTTTTTTATGTCCAATTGATTCTCCCGTATATATCTCACCTTTATCGAGGATGTTAGGCATTCAAAATAATGCCACTGCACTTTCTTCCATTGTATAACAAGTATCTACTTCTTTGTTGTTCACCTACTATCCCAAGTGAATGCCAACAAAGGGCAACTGCACACATTCCCTAAAATTTTGGCTAAAGGAATTCCTATAACTTGAAAGCCTGGATGACACTAATCTAGTCAACCATAGTGCATCATATCTAGTAGTCCATAATTCTTAGGGAATTCTCAAATCAGATCAAAACCAACCCAAAAACCAAATTTGGGTCCGATTTTGTCCATAGCAGCTTAAAAACCGTAAAAACCGCTAATTGCAAACCCAAGATGCCTGAAACTGGATTTAGACCATTGTCACTGGACTCAAGATTTCTCACATGAGCTGGTGGTGATCTAGTCCAGTGATGTGCTATGTGTCACCAAGTCCAATGTGCCCAAAGACACAAACCGCATTTCTACTTGCTTCTGGCCTTTGGAATTTTCCTAAATTTATGGAAGATTTCCATATGTTTATGGAAGTTGGCTTAACCTTAGGAATTCTAATCCTATCGTTATATAAACACTATCATCATGCTTAGAGATAGATCTATAACTCTTAATCTTAATGGGATTGGTACCCTAAATCAAAAGTCTATAAAACCCCTTTGCCCCTCCATGAATCGTAACAAAAAATTATAGAAAATATATTAAAAACCCCATAAAAAACCCTAGGAAAATAATAAAAGAATCCCATAGCCTATGAGCAAACTTGAGAGAACTCTAGAGCTTTGTCACCCAAGAAAACCATAAGAGACTGAAGCCTAAAGCCAATTCTATTTACCCAACTTCCCTACATTTTTCAAAGCCCTAAATAAACACATATAGAAAAACATTAATTAGGAAATCAAATTCAGCCAATTATTTAAGAAAGAGAGCACAAAAGTATAAGCAACCCCTTATCTGATATGGGCCACAATTTCGGTTTCAGATGCCCCAGCCAACAGGCCTAGGCTCATGTAAGTTTCCTTGTATTTTTTTAAGTTTAATACTTAGTTTTTTTTTTGTTTTTTTAGTTTATTTGTTTTCTTTCCATGTTCTATTGTTTCTTTCTTTTTTTTCTCTCTTTTTTATTTTCATGTTATATATTTTTTCTTCGTTTTTTTCTTTGGTTTTGTGAGATTTCAAGCTGGCATTGCCTATGGTTCCCATAGAGGATTGATCTTTTAAGATTAGGATCCATGTTTGAACGATAATTCAACGGACCCGACATTCTCTACTGGATTTTAATTATTTTATTTAAAGCAATGGTGAAAGAAAGTTTCACCTTTAAACAATATGAGATTTTGGCTTAACTAAATTAGGCATTAATCTTACATTATAACAGTAAGATGCACTTAAAAAACCTATTGAAACATGTTGTTTTGATGTTAGAAACTCCTTCACTTGAGCATATTTACCTCGAGATTGTATGGATGGGAGAAAGAAAAATTGACGTTTATGAAAACTGCAACTTGTAAAACATTATATAGAATGTCATTTTTAAAAAAATTGAAGTGTTCAGATTTCACAATCAGAGGCCAAAATCGATTCGTCTGCTAGGGGTTTTAGATATTGAAACTGCACATTCCAATAGAAATTTGAGACATGCCTTACTTTGATTGTTTAAGGTTGTCTCTTTATATAAATTGCATTTTTATTTTGGTTGTAATCATGGGTTACAGTTTTTTTTAGAGAATTTCACATTCATGTCCGTCTAAATCAGCATTATTACAAAATCCCTCCAGTTTTTTGTTTTTTACATGCACACCTTTTTCAATTTTTTTTTCTCAAAATGCACCTACTTCGTACTTTTAATATTTTAAGTTACAATGATTTTGAATTGAAGTCCATAATACATTTTTAATGTGATTTGGACGTTTAAGGTCTAAAATCCCATTACTTTGGATCTTGAAGGCCTAAAATAAACTCTACACTTTAGACCTTGAAGGCCTAAACTCAATAATTTCATTGTCTGAAAGTCTGAAGTGAAGTATTTCATCACCTCATGGTCTGAAGCTAGGATATTTTGATTTTTTTTTTCAAAAAATGATATAAATGTACTATGATGAAGATTTTACAGTAGAGACACATGGGGGGACATGAATTTAAATTTATCTAGGTTTTATTAGTAGATGCAATTTTTTTACTGTATAGGCTTTATGAAAACAAAGTAAAGCTTCACGTTGAATCTTCGTTCAGAAAACACTTTGAGCGTTAAAAATCTCTACAATGACTCTAAAATCAATTTCCAACATTGACTATGAAATTTAAAGCTTAATAAATGAGGCAATCTTGCAAGTCTACGAACACTTAAAGTAGACAATCTAGATAATGTGTTACAATATAAACTGTTTGTAGTGCTTAAAATCATATTTTTTAACAACCGCAATGGTCAAGTTCACGACAATCGATTTGAAGCTTTTATGATGCTAGGATTACAATTTTTGATGAATTTTAAGGTTTGAGCTTTACTTAGTTTGTTGCAATATGCATTGTTTTTAAGGCTTGAAATATTTTTCTTTCTAGTAAGCAACCAAAAAAGGTCAAGGCTGAGATGACTGATTTTAAAATTTTCGACACCAGAACTGCATATTTTAGTGAGAGGTGACATTTTGCTTATTTTAATAGAATTGCAACCCTATCAAAACATTTTCCTTTATTAATTCCCTTGCATGCAAGTTCATGACAAATTATAATTATTCATAACCTTTACAAAGCACATATTCTTTACCCTCCCGTATGATAAGACGTATAGTTAGCAAGTTGGCAAATAACAATACGTTGGCAAACTAAAATATTGGTAATTTATCGATTTTGTTCAAAAAAGTCAGAGGTAAAAAATCGGGTTAAAATATAGAACGCCAAAAATTAAGTAAGTTAAAGTATCGTGAATATTTTAGATTTGATAAAAAATATATAAAGTGAAAAAATCAGATACGTTTAGTATGACACATGACAAAAATATGATTTATAATTGTTCCATGGATACATTAAATTATTGAAGAATGATTTTATCTCGTTACCGTGTATCATTATGGCAGAGTTTTGTGCATTTTTCAATAAATACAATAGCAATGCTAACTCTGTTATCACTAAACAAAACCCATGGTAGATCTATTGTAAGTAAATAATGAAACAACAATGCTAAACAATAACCTAATGTATAGGATTATTGTTTAAGAAAACAAACACACTCTCAATATAGGATTGCAGTTGCCTAAAACACAAAGTTCAAAAATATAAAATAATGATCCATCCAAAATGCTTTGTTTTTTTATTCCAATGAAACAACAAAAATGTTTCAAAAAGTGAAATTCATCAAACCTTTATATAGAATGAAAGTAACAAATAATTAAACAAATTTAAATAGTCGAATCTCATCCTGAATTTATAATTGCCTAAATTTTTAGTTGTTACTGATCTCTCTTGCTCTTTAAATTAATGCTCTAGGTTAGAGAAAAAGAAGAGTTTTATTGGGTTGCTCTTCCTCGAACTCTACATATATTTTAATACATACGGTTGTTAGATTATTTTGTTTGGAACATATTGCTCAAATTTTTTAATACACTTTTTAAGAAAATCTTTTATGGAAAACTCTAAATCAAAACGTGAAGATATTAAAATGAAGAGAATGCAAATTTCTATAAAGTTACATAGAAGAAAACTTTTTAAAAAGTGTATTTGAAAAATAAAAAATACAGATTTATACCAATTTCATTAAAAACACATGATTTTTAAGATCCATTTGAAAAAACTCAGTTTTTAACGGATTTAAAAATATCATTTTTTTTTTAAATTGTATTTTAAGAAAGGCTGGCTAACCAGGCCATCTGCATTTACAAAAACTTTCCCACCGTATTTCTTCTTAAAAAATGGCGCGTCTTACGCCCAAGGTCAGGGCCCGTCCATCTTTTTGGCGCCAAAACGGATGCCCTTTCGCGCCACTTTTAATTCACTCCGAGTAGGCATGGTGAGAGACAAATGATCAAACCAGTCAGGAGAGAGAGAGAGAGAGAGCGAGGGATCACAACGCGCAGGTGTGTGAGAGAGAGAGAGGGATCACTACGCAGTGGAGAGAGAGAGGGTCTTCCCCCCAAAAAGACAAGGGGAGATCACCCAACCACGCGCACCGCAGAGAGAGAGAGGGTTGGTGAGGAGGCGGAAATCCCTCAACCAGGAGAGACAGAGAGAAACCGACCGCCGGCCTAGAAAACAATGCCGACTGATCGTCGCAGTAGTCGAATAGGTACCACAGCCTCATCAGACCCGCGCTCCACGGCCCTTGAGCGCCTCAAGGCCCTGCGTGACGGCACGGTACAGAAAACCCCAGAAATCAAATTGGCAGAACCAATCTACGACAGTCTTCCTGAAGATGAATATGCCCGCTTGGTTGCAGAGCGCAAAGCTTCTGCGAAGGAATTCATAGTGGACGACAATGGTCTTGGTTATGGAGATGAAGGGGAAGAAGAAGATTGGGGAAAAGACCAGCTTCCCCCTTCTTCGGACGAAGAAGATGAGGGGTTTCAGAGAAAGAGGGGCTTGGTTTCAGAGAAGAGGAAGAAGGAGAAGAGAGAGAAAGATGAAGCAAAGCAGAGCTCGTCTTTCTCTGCTGCTGCTGCTTTAATGGGAAAGCAGAGGCTCACTTCCATGTTTACTTCGAATGTGTTGAAGAAGAGGGAGGAGAAGGGGGGAGTGAGGGGGGTGAGTGCTGAGGCCATTATAGAGGATGTGTTAATGGAATTTGCGCCTGACGAGACTGACAGAGAGAGGAGGAGAAGGCGATTAGGTAACTTTAGGAAAATGGGTTTTGGCTCTTTTGGAATTGTTGTTTTGTTTAATGATGAATTAGGCTTAATTAGGCCCTATATTTATGTGAAAAGTCCTACCTTTTTGCTGATTTTCCACGGATCTTTTGTTTCTTTAGCTCATGCTCTGGAGGAGCTTTGGGGGAACAGTGCCTTGGGGCTTTTGTGCTCTTTCATCATTTCACTGCATATGTTTTTTCATTTTGTATTAACTGTCATTTTTATTATCTTTGTTTGTGTCTGGATTTTTTGGAATGGTTTCATGCTGAATATGCACAGATGCTCTTGGAAATATGCTTATTTGCTTATTTTTTCTTTTTCTTTTTTTATAAAATACTTGATTCTCTAAATATGTTTTACTTGAAGTATTTAGTACATGTTTCCATTACTCCCAATTCTACTTTTTTTTTTTCCTTTTTGAATGTTGCATTAACACTTGACTTCCAGAAAAAAACAAAAATTGTTGCATTGACACTTGATGCAAATGGTTCACATTTACTCGAGAAGATTTTAATAGATTTTTATGTTTTTTGTTTTTCCTGAAATAATGTAGGTACAAAGGCTTCATTACCATCATCTGATGCAATGCTGCGACCTGTTGAGTGTGAAACAGTTTCTATTAACAAAAATTCTAAATCTGGGATTGATAAGTTACCCCTAGTTTCAAGTATGGTTTTGGGGAATGAGCGCTTGGGTCCTGATACTGACGATACAGGCATGAGCATGGATACTCATGCCGAGACTTCACCTCACCTGGAACCAGAGCTGGCTTCTGGTGCTAATGATTGTCAAGATCCTGATGCATCTCATAATAATTTACTTCGAGAGGGGCCCATAGTGGAAAAAGGAAAGGTTGGTTTGCTTGTTTCTGAAAGAAATGCTAAAATAGAGAAGGGAACAGTTGAAGACAAAGTTTTGCTTAATGCAAAGGTTAATATTGAGAGCAATTCTATGCCCACTGCTACTGCTGGTTGGCAAGCTGTATCACAAGGGGAGAAGGTGAATGGTGGTCAGAATGGGGAAGTTTCAGAACTCCCAGTAAATTATGAAGAGAAGACAGAGTTTTCTTTGGACCCAGATGGGTCACTACCTTTCTATATAATTGATGCATATGAGGAGATCTATGGTGCAAATGTTGGTACTTTGTACCTCTTTGGAAAGGTATTCCCATTTATAAGGTGTTTCTATTTGGAAAGGTGTTTCCATTCAAAATGTTATCTGGAGTTCTGTTTTCATCTGTTCTTTTCTTGTTTTGTTTGACAAGAAAAATATATTTATTCTTTCATACTATGGTAGTTTTGAGTGCTGCTTAATGTTAGAAACTTTCAGGTGCACTTTACATTTGAGGATCTAAGCACTAAAAGATGTTAGTTTGGGCTGGCTTTCCTTGTAATGATACTTCAATATTTCTGAATGTGAAATTTTAGGCTTTTAGGCCTAGGATAAAATGCATTGTTCCTTCGTAATCCATTTTGGTTATTATTTCTCTAGTACACATATTTTCTTGTTGTCAAAGCTTACTGCAGTTATTTCTATTTGGCAACCTGCTGTACTTCTTCTGATTCAACTTTGTTTCCTTTGTCGTCCATTGTATTTTTCAACAAAAGAAAATGTTGTGACAGGGAGGCTCTATAGGAGCTTCATACACTGAACTTGAGAGCCTTGACCTGAGCTATATCTCTATCCATTTAGCTTTAAATCTGTCACTTATTATTACACTCCATTATCCTTCTTTTGTGGAAGAGTGAGCGAGAGAGGTTTTGGATCTTCTTCCAAGAAATTTTGAGGCCTATTCGGAATATCTTCTTTAGATCAGTGGTCAATTTGCATTGGGGGAAAGAGAGAGAGAGATCCAAGATGAAAGAATGACCTACTCTTGATAGGAATTTTGTGACGTATCAAGTACAAACTGTTTAAACCTATACATACCTTCTGGCTTCACTGTTTGGACAAAATTATATTCGTAGGACATAGTCCTTTACAACTCTTAGTCCTTTACAACTCAATCTCTTTTTATGCTTGTTATCCCACAATTTACGGCATTTCATTTCTAGTGTAGGCCACCAATGAGTAAATCTCAATTGATTATTGAATCTAAATTGTCCTGAATCTTGATTCTTGAAACAACAAGGCTGCTTGTTATCCCACAATTTACAGCATTTAATTTCTAGTGTAGGCCACCAATCAGTAAGTCTCAATTGATTATTGAATCTAAATTGTCCTGAATCTTGATTCTTGAAACAACAAGGCACCACACTTGTTTCTCTTTTAACTTTCCTGTTTCTCTTGTAACTTTGCTATAACTTTTTAACCTATGGTTGTAATCTCCACTTGGAGATAATGCAATTTAAAGTTTCCTAAAGATGTGAATTGATCCTTCAAGTATCATACTTTCATGGAAAACATAATGATTGTAGGGAGTTAGCGTACATGCTCTGTCTTCTTGGCTTTTTTAAGTGAAGCTCTTTAAGATGTTGCTTTTATTTGTCCTATCATGGGTTGTCACTTAATTGATTTTCAGTCTACTGAATGATCCTAAAAAGCTAATGAGGTAACATATTTCTGGTTGTTCTAGATTTGGTGATTGTGACACTGTAGCTCTATGCCTTTGTATTATGAGTACAGATGTAAATTCCCAGCACACTTCACAGCGAAATCACATCACTTGGTGTTTGAACATATTAAGAAAGAACCTCCAATTTCTAAAGTTGGATCTAACTCACCTAGAGCATTACGCCACTGTGCATGTCACCGCATGTGATGATAAAAGACAAATCATAAAGTGTTATGATCCTCTCTGCTAAGCAAGTATCGAGCACAAAAAACATCGGTGTTGACTTTTGGTCTCTTACATGGTGCTCCCTACTGCATCTCCTTTTTTTTTCATCAGATGTGTCATTAAGTAATTGCTTTTGATTCCTTTTTCTTACAATGATTTAAATTGGTTTTATTTATTGATTCTAAGAAAAATAGACATGGCATCATCTGACTTATGGATCTGTGCTATTCTTTGATGGAAAGAATGAAAGATGCTATTGTTGCTTCAATATTTTTTTAACATTAGTGTTATATAGTCTAAAATTTTTCCTAAATAGATTTTTCCTTTTCCAATTGTGTTACCTCGTGTTTTGCCATTCATTTTCATGTCTCACTTGTTTGTGATATATATTTTTTGCTACTTGAGAAGGGTGAGTAATCAAATATTGATATAGATTCATTTGTTGGCTCTAGGTTAAATCAGGTGATGCATATCTCAGTTGTTGTGTAGTTGTAAAAAATTTACTGAGATGTGTCTATGCCATCCCTACTGGTTCAGTTTTTAAAGGAAATGCAGTCGCAGAGCTTGAAAGTGCTTTGAAGGACTCCAGAATCACACATACAACATTTCGGACCAAGCTGCAAGTAATTATCATTTATTTGACGTGGTAAAATGTTTTTATGGTTGTTAAGATCAAAGTTTCGTGAAATTAAAACATCTTCTTTTGGTTTTTGTATAGGATATGGCAACTGGATTAAAGAATGAATTATCCAAAAGACTGTTGGATCTTAATGTGTCAACTTTTAGCATGACTCCTGTGAAGGTTAATTTTTCCCCATTTTCGGACTATATTTCATTGCTTGATTTCTTGGCTCGTGACTTTGACCTTTGTTAATGAGCAGAAAGTTTTTATTTGGTTTCATATTGCCTTAGTTTGCATTCTATGTTGCTGTTCCTTTTATGTTTCGTTACAATACATAAAACATTATTAGTTTTCCTTTGGAAAGACAATTGCCAGTCATTGAGTTTAGTTAGCTCTTGTGCTGGGAAATGGCATTTGCTTAATGCCTTTGTCCAATTCATTTTCATAATTATCACTTCCCGTTTGTTCCACTCCTCAGGGGGCTTATTGTCGTTATTATGAGGTGGTAGTCAACATCTACTATATAACATAGTTTCTAGCCAGGATAATTGGCTAAGTTGTTTGGTTTCCAGTTCTTAATCATTATCCATATTGTGGCAGAGGAGCTATGCATTTGAACAATCTGGTGTACCTATTGGCAAGCATTATGTTCTTAAGATCAGCTACCCATACAAGGTAACACAATCTTCTTCATTGAGTTTGCTAACTATTCCTGCTCAATGGAAGCACTGGTAGTGTTAAACCTCATTTTGTCTTATGTGGATGTTTGGTATGATAATATGCAAAAGCAATCTACTTTTATATCTCAATTGTGGTTATACCTGGAGCAACAGAGGTTTAAGATAATTTATTTTTCCCTTTGAAGTTTGTTGTGTTCATTATAATCAAGTTATTTTGCACTTTCTTGATTGTGCCTTACTGTGTTTGCTTCTCACCTGAGACAATATAATATCTTAAATGCACAAGCCTTGGAGGATCACGAGCACTGTGCAATGATCTCTCTACATGGCACACTTTTCTGCTGAAACCAGAGCTTTATAAACTTATGATGTGTGAAATATTTCACTCGGATCCCAAAGTGGAACAAGGATGAGAAAATGCACTTTTGGCAAGTAATAAATTAAAAAAAAGGGCAAATCACAGTACTTCTAGAAGTTAATGGAAACACTATTTTGATGTTTGAATTTTGTCCCATATTCTTTTCTCTATATTGGATCACGGACATAATTTTATTTTCAATCCTAATTCTTGTGGCTTATATCTTTCAGGACTGTGGGAGTTAGTTATTTACATTATTGTGATCCATGGCCACTTTTTGCTTTTATCATTACCCACAAAGGTTGATCTTGGGATTGGTATTCCCTGGATTGCTATTAATTTCTGCCAAAGGTGCAAACAGCACTAATTTATAAATGTTTCAATGAATATTTGTTTGTTCAATTTTCGTTTTTTGGTCTGTGTTTTTGGCTCTGACTGACAAAATCATTTCCATTTCAATTTTAATAGGCACATTTATGTTTTTATGGATAATTTGATTGGTTTGCTATATAGATTCATTAGTTCTTAGTGCAGTCGTTTTTATCCTGAATCTTTTTAGTTTGAGAAGTTTTGCTTATTATGGAATCTACTGATGCAGGATTCACCTCTTCCTTCCGATTTAAGAGGAGGACATTTTTCTGCTCTTTTTGGTACCAATACCAGGTTTGCTTTCTCTCTCTCTCTTCTCTCTCTTGTATGCAAGCCTTGCTCCCCCCACCCCAAAAAATAAAATAAAATACAGCTACCAGAAACTTCATTTCAGACCATTGGACTGACCTCATCCTGTATCTTTCTCTGTCTGAACGTCAATGTCTGTGTTTTGTTTATGTTGGGATTTTGAAATAACAAATATGAAATATCAATTGCTGTATCATGTGAAAACAGTTTAGGACTGTTATGTTATGTCTTTGATGTCAGTGAGCCTCTTGGGGTGGCTTTCATGTTTTATGTAATAGACTGGGATAGAAGAAAACCTTTCAATCTATACAGATTTTATTGTTGTTGCTGTTGCAAGCAATATAATGTTTTAGTCATTGCAAGCAATACATCTAGTAGACTAATCTCTCGGGCATTTGGTTTTCTTCACAACAAGCTGTGAATGTAAGAAAGCATTCCCAAGAGCTGACACATGCATGTATCAAATGTAATGCATAATACATTGGGCATGTGCATGCATGAATTCTTCTCTCTTTTGGGTAATTCTCATACACATATATATGCATGCTTGTTATGCACCTTTACATGTACACAATACACACTAGTACACAGAGAGACACAGGCACTGTTTGTTACTGCAAATGTATATATAAGAAAAGTATAAACTTGGATATGTTGATTCATTCAACCTCCTTTGAGCTCTGCTTTCAAATATGCTGATTAGATATCAAGTTTTGTCGTGTACATATGTATACATATATACATATATATGAATATGATCTGTGAGCTGGCTGGCGGCCTATTGAATAAATATATTTTGGATGGCCAAGATTGATTTGAGGATGTCCAACGGCACGCATATATGGGTACCTTTTCATTTTCTCTTTTTTTTCATATGAATCTTTTTGAGCTGAGATTTTTAAAGAGGTGAGCAAGACCAGTGAGACCCAGGTGCACAAGAAAAAATTTAAAAATTCATACAGAATAAAAGTGACAAAAACGCCCCCACACCTAGCAGCGAACATGGGCTGCCAGAGTGTTAAATTTGGGCCATACACACACACACAGATATATATATATATATATATATATATATATATATATATATAT